CATCGATGAATAAGTACTCTACCACTGTGTCGGAGGAGATGTTAATTGTTGATGAAAAATCAAGGAATTGTTTTGAGGATTTAACAGGTTGCCTCAATCCCTTCCGATTAACAACCTATCCCAGAATTTGTAGTTGTTATGATTTAAAATCTGCAAAGGATAATCTGGATGTTTTTAATGCTGTTGTTGATGTAGTTTGTTTTTATCAAGGTGTTAATTCTAAACAAATTGATGTTAGAGTTCCAATTCGGGGTTCTGGCTTCCTTGTTGCTCCTCCAAACAAACTCGACACTATTTGGGAATATTACTTTGTGACATGCTTGCATAACACTCTTCCTTTTGAATATGAATACAATAATGAAGTAGTGCAACTTTCTTTAAGAATGATTAAAGGAATTTTAGGGAAGAATCATAGGTTTGAGCCGTTAAGTGCCAGATCCATGAATTGCACCATTCTTGCAAAATCAGATCTGAAAGAGGATGAAAATGTAAAGGAACATCCAAACAAAGATTGGGTTTTGATGAAAATGGAAGTACCAATCGATATAGTATTAGATGAACAACATTTTCCAGAATCATACCTTATTCCAAGTCCTTCAAAGCTCAACCCTCAATCAGAACATGATTATAACATGTCTATTCTTTCCTTTCAAGGCATGCCAACTGAGAAAGATGTAACAACTTTAGAACAACATTTAGATTATCACACAAATCTTATTGCCTTAAAGAGTATGTTTGAGTTGGAGTGTAAAAATATTAGCTTTGGAAAATTTGTTGATACTAACGAAAAAACATGTTGTAAACACTATAACGCCAGCTCATTTCCAGGCTCTTCAGGCGGTGCTGTTCTTCCTTGTTGTGAAAATTATAGCAATTGGAGAGACTTTAAGGAGAATGTAATTCTTGATCGATCAGTAATAGGAGTACATACAGGCTCTGAAGAGAATTTTAATAGATGTTGTCCAGTGAGTTATTGGTTCAAGGCCTTTTACGATCATGTGTTTATTCCAATGAAAGGAAACTTTACAACGGAGGAAATTGAAAGAATAGAGATGGAGAATGTGCTCAATAATATCTAGAAGAATGCAAACCTATGGGTAGTTAAGAACCCATCTTTGATTTGACTGGACCGAACATTCACAAATTTTGAATAACTCAGTTCTGCACTCATG